CATGCATGATGTCGCCTAAAGGGCTCCTTACCCGAAATGGGACAAAGTTGATAGGCTCGACATTGCTCATTCCTCGCAAGATGGACGAACGATTACCAAAAGAAGCTCAAGGAATTTGCACATTGAAAGCTTTCATTGAGTGTGTACTCTACATTACTATTTTTACTAAAGTAGAATGAGGAGGTATTGATGCTCTAAGTCTCGGTGACTGTGATGACAAATGACATTCAAAAATATAAGTTTTATTAGTTCGTTTAACAAGAAGGTCATCAAATTGTGGGTGGTCTTAGCTGAGTGGGTAGAGCACCGCCGTGAAATGCATATTGTGATATGAGATTGCGGGTTTGAGTCCTTGGACCCATAAATTTGCGTATGCGATCAGCGGACCAATGCAGACCACCCACATGACATGCAAGTTGGTCTTAGGCTTAATGGTTAGAGCATTAGTGCTAATATGCGCATTGTGGTGCTACAACGTTGTAGGTTTTTTTAAGGCAGCGAAGATTGACTATTCAGATTGTGTCTTGTGTGCGCTTTTGGTCGAAAGACATCGATCAACGTAGCCATCTTGCACAGAGGTTAAATGGGTCGGAATGTGGATGGGAGAAAGTGGGTCCAATTGGGATGACTTGGGAAAGGGGGTCAAGGCAAACCACCCTCCAAGCATGCACGGTCGAACGCCCCTTACGGCAACAGGTGAAGGTGGTGTATGCATTGCCCCAGACAGATTGTCATGGGGGTTTGATCTCGCATCTAGGTTCAGGCCCTCAGGGGTGAGGCCCCATTGTCGGCGGATGGGTAACGTGGATCCTAGTTGAGACCTTCGCGTGGGTGCCTAAGGTGGAGAGTTTTATACTTTAGAGATGTTTATTTCTTCTACATGGACCCACCCCTCCGACAAGGATGACTCAGCGCATTGTCCCTCCCGTCATGATTTCTCATGCATTGTCTCTTCTTTCGCACAGTTATTTTGAACAACGTCATTAAACTACTCACACTTACTCTCAATTGGTTAATGAGGACAACATATTACTATTTAAATATTGGTATTTATTTTTAACTATTCAAGAACTAACACGTGTTGATGGCAAAAAAAATGTCTTTTATGTCACTAATAGCGAGAAGTTCTACAAGCACCATGTTGAACTTTTTTTGTCCTATCATTTGTATATAGTTTTCATCTTTATGGTTTTAGTATTGCCAAGTTTGCTTGTTTGTTGTGTTTTTCAAGCTTAATATGTATTTTTTTTAATGTATATTTATGTTCATACTTATCATTTTGTTTTTTGTTTATTTATTGGTAATGACATGCATTGTCCACAGTAATGTTGTCGGCTCGAACGTGCGGCCGTGGTCCAACCCGACCCGAAACGTTCGGGCGTTCGGGCCGGCGTTCGGGGCCCGTCCAACCTCCTGTTCGGCCTCCGCCAAGGTCCGTAAGTGCACCTTTTTTTTTTTTTTTTTTTCCGCGTTTGTCTGTTTTCGACTGTGGAGGGGGGAGGCGAAGCAACGCCAACCACGTGTTGGCCAAAGAAAAAAGACAAAGAAAAAAAAATTAAAAAAAACGCTCATCCAATAAAAGTGGGCCACGTGGCGTGCGAGCCGAACGGGACCACGTTCGGCCGAACGCCGGACCAGGCTCGGTGGTACCGGTTGGCGTTCGGTCGCCCGTGCGATTTTGGAAAAAAAAATAGGGTCGGAATTCGGCCCCGAACTTTCTATCCGGGCGAACTCCGACCCTTGTTCGTATTCTACGCTGCTGCGAACGCATGCGGAGCACCCGAACRGYCAGCGGCACGCACGGGTAGGTCTCTCTCTCTCTCTCTCTCTCTCTCTCTCTCTCTCTCTCTCTCTCTCTCTCTCTCTCTCTCTCTCTCTCTCTCTCTCTCTCTCTCGTCTTCTTTTCTGTTTTTCCCTTTATTCTGCTTTCTATCCTCCAATCAACCAATCAACAAATAAATCGAAATCGACAAGGAAGATGATTGATTGATTGATTGATTGATTGATTGATTGATTGATTGATTGATTGACTGATTGATTGACTAATTGATTGATTGATTTGGGGCGGTGGGTATTGACGCCGTAATTGGGGACGGAAGTCGGGATCGGTGCAGGGAAGTCGGGGGAGGGAAGTCGGGATCGGGGCAGAGCGGCGGGAAGTCGGTGGGAAGTCAGGGGAGGGAAGTTAGGGGAGGGAAGTCAGGATGGGGAGGGAAGTCAGGATGGGGAGGGAAGTCGGGAGTCGGGAAGTTGGAGATAGCGGTGGGGATGGGGAGGGACGTCGGGACCGGGGCAGGGAAGTCGGGGTATGGAAGTGGGTGGAGGGAAGTCGGTAAGTCGGGGAAGGGAACTTGAAGTCGGGGGAGGGAAGTCAGGAAGTCGGGACCGGGGCAGGGAAGTCGGGGTATGGAAGTCGGTGGAGGGAAGTCGGGAAGTCGGGGAAGGGAACTTGAAGTCGGGGGAGGGAAGTTGGTGGGAAGTCGGGGGAGGGAAGTCAGGAAGTCAGGATCGGGGCAGAGCGGCGGGAAGTCGGGGAAGGGAAGTCAATGGGAAGTCGGGGGAGGGAAGTCAGGGGAGGGAAGTCAGGGGAGGGAAGTCGGGATGGGGAGGAAAGTCGGGAGTCGGAAAGTTGGGGAGAGTGGTGGGGATGGGGAGGGACGTCGGGAGTCAGGAAGTTGGGATGGGGAGGGAAGTTGGGAGTCGGGAGTCGGGACGTCGGGAGTCGGAAGTCAGGAAGTTGGGATGGGAAGGGAAGTCGGGAGTCGGGAAGTTGGGGAGAGCGGTGGGGATGGGGAGGGACGTCGGGACCGGGGCAGGGAAATCGGGGTATGGAAGTCGGTGGATGGAAGTCGGGAAGTCGAGGGAGGGAAGATGGGGGAGGGAGTCGGGAAGTCGGCGGAGTTGGGTATAGTGAATATGACCACACACACACACACACACACACACACACACACACACACAAACACACAAACACAAACACAAACACACAGACACAGCGAATATGGCCACACACACACACACACACGCACACACACCCTACACGCACAAACACAAACACATACACACACATATACACAACGAATGTGACAACACACACACACACAGTGAATGTGACGACACACACACACACACACACACAAACACACACACACACACACACACACACACACACACACACACACACAC